CGGCTCCTCCCCCCGGGGGGCCCCCCAAGCCAGCCGCTGCTGAAACAGATCAGCGGCTGATTCCAGGAAGCCCTGGGCAGAGCAGCTCTGCCCCGGGCTTCCTGGAATCAGCCGCTGATCTGTTTTTCGAAATATGGCACTGTGTAAATATGCCAAATTTAAAAAAAAAAGCTATTTCGAAATTAACTACACAATTTGTGTCGCTCAAATTGTGTAGCTTATTTTGAGCTAAGGGTGCAATGTAGATGCACCCTCAGGCTGGTTAAACACTGGAATAATTGCCTAGGGAGGTTGTGGAATCTCTGTGTCTGAAGATATTTAAAAGAAGGTTAGACAAACACCTGTCAGGGATGATCTAGACAGTGCTTGGTCCTGCTGTGAGGACAGGGGATTGGATTCGATGACCTCTCAAAGTCCCTTCCAGTTCTAATGTTCTATGATTCCCTCCGGACTGCCATGTGACACAACTTAGCATCGCACTCTCAGGTAGACACTGGCCTCTGCCTCTGCCCTGGGCCCAAGACATAGCAATCAAAAACATTAATACACATTAGCATCAAGATTGCTTCATGCTAGTCATCACAACAAAGAGAGGTCAGAACCACCCAACAGCCAGCAGGATGGGCTGGAGCAAGGAGCATATCAAAGCCACGAGCCAGCAACCACCAGCTGATAGAAAAACCTTCTGTGAGCAGTTCAGGCTTGTTGCTGCCTGCAGCCGTTTGGCAGTCTACTGAAGAGGCCAAATTAATTTTTTTAATACTCATGGCTCACAGGTTTCCAGTCCCAAAACAAAGAGAGGCATTGTGTTTTATTTAGCTTGGAATGTGTCTCATTAACAGCATCCCCTGGTGATTTTTCATCAATTCTTTAAGCTAGCTGAACGGCCCAACGACTTGTACACTTTAATGTGCAATTTGCTGAAAACATCGGGCTCTCCCGCTCACTACTGGGAAAGAGCCAGGACTGACAAACACAAACGAGGAATACGGGGCTCCCTGAAAGAGCATATCTGCTCTTCCGCAAAAAAAAAACCCAAAAAACGGAAGAGCAGACACATTCCCTGGATGCGGCAGGGTTTTTCTGGGATACCTCTGGTGTAACCCACACACCTCTTAGGTATGGTTCACTGTCCCATGTAGTGGTACTTCGACCACTTATGGAGGAGAGAATGAGTTTGTTCTACAGCCTTAGCTAAGAGCAAGCTGGCTTTTAGCTCAAGCTGCAGAGGCTCAAGCATTATGCTCCACAGGGCCCAGGTTTGGTTCTTCCTGTCAGTGTTACACAAGGAGCATATAGGCCAGCACCCACTAAGGCAGGGCTACTCTCCCCCGCTTCATTTGCATGAACATGGCTGCCGCTTTTTTCCGGCTCGGGGCTTTGCCGGCAAAAAGCGCCAGTCTAGACGGGGATCTTTCGGAAAATAAAGCCTTTTCCGAAAGATCCCTTATTCCTCTTAAAATCAGGGGAGATTTAAATCCCCGCTTCATTTGCAATTGCGCTGTGTCTAATCTGCATCCCTTTTCTGCAAAAGGGGTGCAGTCTAGACACAGCCGAGTTGACACCAGCTTTTGGATAGAACATCTGCAAATGTCTTATCCCCAAAATGCCATGGCAACAAATTGACATATATAGTACACTGAAAACATGAATATAATTAAGGACACCTCAACATTAGTAGGGTGAGGAATTACAAATAAGGAAGAGGTGAAAACTCCCTGCAGTATAAAAGTTGTATTTCAGCCTGTGGGCAGTAGGGAGCCCTTGGGAGGTGTCCAAGTGATAGTCACTTCTGATCAGGAGGAAGGTGATGGTTATGAGGCAGATAATGGCTATTTCAGGCTGTTATTCATGATGGGAGTGTAGGGGTGTACAGTGGACATTCTATAGTATCTCTAGCTACCTTACTGAGCTGGGGTGTTCTTAACTCTGCTAAACGTATTAAACAAATATTGTAAATAGAGAAAAGTACCTATAGTCTGAGTGTGATGTGCACATCGGATCTCCCAACTACACAGTAATTTTAATAACAATGGTCTTGATCAGGAGACAAGAACCTAACATCCCTCAAAATGATAACTAGGAATTCTTAAGAAAGCAATATAATTAACACTTAATCTAGGTCTAGAAAACATGACCTATGAGGGAATACTGAAAGAAATGGATTTGTTTAGCTTGGAAAAGAGAAGACTGAGGCTACGGGTACACTGCCATTTTTTGTGGAAAAGGATATGCAAATTATGCTCGTGTTTGCATATCTTCTTCTGATTCTCTTTGCACAGATCCTGTAAACCTCGATTTTTGAGGGATAAGGGATCTTGTGAAAAAGGGGGGGGAATTCCCAACAAATGGCCCTGTCTACACAGGGCTTTTTATCGACAAAACCTCTTCGGCAAAAAGAATCAGAAGAAGATATGCAAAGGTGAGCACGATTTACATATCCTCTTCCGTAAAAAAATGGCAGTGTAGCTGTCACCTGAGAGGGAATATGATAGCAGTCTTCAAGTACCAAAAAGGGTGTTACCAGGAAAAGGGAGAAAAATTGTTCTCCTTGACCTCTGATGATAGGACAAGAAGCAATGGAGGTTTAGGTTGGACATTAGGAAAAATTTCCTGTCAGGGTGGTTAAACTCTGGAATAAATTGCCTAGGGAGGTGATGGAGATATTTAAGAGCAGGTTAGATAGACATCTGTCAGGGATGATCTAGATGGTGCTTGGTCCTGCCATGAGGGCAGGGGACTGGCTTGATGACCTCTCGAGTTCTTGTCCAGTTCTAGTGTTCTATGATTCTATAACTTGGGCTACATTGCTCCCGTTTGAATATGCACAACTGGAAGCAGTGGATAAGGTTCTGGACTAAACTTTGGAGACTATTGCTGGCTGTACCAATAACCTGCAGGGGTACCTTGGGAAAGTCCCTTCATCCCTCTGTGCCCCTATTCCCCTTCTCTGTGTTTCCTTATTTTCCAGACTGAGAAGTGCTGGGGCAGAAACGTTCTCTGTTTATAAGCAGCCTCACACGACCTGGCATCTAGACACCAATGTCATAATATTCACCATAGCATTTTGCCATTGAATGCCTTAAAAATGCAAAAAAGGGGTGTTTAGGACCCATGTTATCATATCATCACAGAAAAAGACCTCCTCAGTCATCTCATCTTTCCCTGTGAACAGAGTGACCAGATGGCACGTGTGAAAAGTTGAGATGGGATACAAGGTAATAGGCGCCTATAAAAGGTAATGCTCTAAATATCAGGATGACTGGTCACCCTACCTGGGAACTGAGTACTAGATTATGCTTCGTCGTAGTTTTAAATAACTCAATCAATAGGGCATGTGTTCGCCCCTTTCCCTAAGGGACTTTTCTCAATCTAGGAGAAGGCACTTTCAGAATCTCCTTTACCCCCAACAGTCAATCTAATTTATCTTCTGCTCAGCATCAGCCTGTTATCCAGAGATGCAACCCCCTTTGGATCATCTTCAGACATTTCCTCCCATCCCTCCTTGGGGATTACCTTGAAAGTGCAGTTGTCACAAAGCACCCCGCTCAGGTTGCTTATCACCTGCCCATTTGCAGTCACCTCCAGCTGGTACAGCCCTTCCTGTGGAGAGGACCTTCAAAGGAAACAACAGCTCATGTGTTTTCAGGTAAAACATGGGCCAGCTCCTCTGCTGGTATAAATCTGTGGAGCTCCACTGACTTTAATGGTGCTACGCCAGCCACACTGGTCATTCCTTGGGAGAGGGGAGGAGCCAAAAGAATACTGAGGTTGACGCGAATAAGCAAGTACCGAACAGGAGTGTGGGGGTAGCCAGAGGGGGGCACTGTCCCGTGAAACCCAGGCAACGGGCACCGCTCCCCAGAGGAGGACCCACCAACCAGTGTGACAGTCCTGCCAAGGACATTATAGCAGGTATAGCATGGTCAGCAGCCATGCAAGCTTTCCATCACCAACCAGTACGCCCCAAATTTAACCTAGACGCACCACCTCTAGGGGCAAGAGGGGAGTTCAGTTGTCAGTCTAGTCCCCTGGATTAGATGTCCGCACAAACCCTATGGCTGTGTCTACACTGGCAAGTTATTCCGGAAAATCAGCCGCTTTTCCGGAATAACTTGCCAGCTGTCTACA